ACAATACGTCGAGATTTGTTGAAAACTTGATAGGGGCTTAGGGAATAATCAATTATGTACAAGAACATATACTTACCATTAAAAGAAAATCACATACACATTGCTAAAAAAATCAAATTATATCAATGGACCACAATATGAAGTTATGATTTGATTTAAAGTCCATTCAATTCGGGTGGCATATGTGTAACCATGCTCAACTCTACAAACTTAGGGTTTGTTCGTTATCATTTTTTGTTCTTAATCTTTTGCTTTTATAAAACAAATAATCATAATCAGAAAATGTGGTTTTACAATAAAACTGAAAACTACAATGATGTCAAATGGGCTCTTATTTTTATTATTTTTTTTAAAATTTTTTTTTGACGGGTAATTACTTAGTTAATTGATGTATTCATTAGCCAATTTCATCTAGCTATCTAACAAATCATACAAAATTCACATTACTCTGTAAGAAGTTCCATCAAGTGTTTTGAGTAGTAAGTAAAATAAAATAAAATAATATTCCGCTAATCTAATATATATAAATAAAGAAGGCATTTTTGGAGCGCGTTCGGAGTGGCACGTAAGAAATATACTTATTTCGACCAATAAGAAGAAAGATTTGTATTTTATTTTTGAATAAAAAATTATGTCGCCACCTAGATAAAAGTAACGAATTAGATTTGATATATCTAAAATTTTAATGCCACGTAGATAATAATCCACGAATTTAATTATTTTAATGAAAAAAATAAAGTAAAAATATAGGAAAAGATAAATTTATTAATTCAATACTACGAGTATAAGAAATCCAAAAAAAAAATACTAAAAAATATTTAAATGATAAATGCTTATAATAAAGTTTGATACCTATCATTATAAGATAAATTTTGATAGTATTTATGATAAGAAATACAAATTGTTCGTTAATTATAATTAAATTAAAATCTGTGATACCTATCATTATAGATTGACACATCATACGACAGAAACAAAATTTCGTATCAATAAAAAACCCCATCAAGCGAATTTTGTGTTAATTTTTGGTCATCAATGACCAGGTGATTTTTAGCTTAATTTTTAAAATCCTATATTTAAATTAGTATTTCTAATTATTACTTACATTGTATTCATTTTGGATACTCAACGATTATATGTTTATATTTTATTTACTAAATGTTTTTTTTACATGCAGATCTAACACATCATACGACACAAATAAAATTTCGTATCAATACAAAACCCCATCAAGCGAATTTTGTGTTAGTTTTAGGTCATCAATGTCCGGGTAATTTTTAAAATCTTATGTTTAATTTATATTTGTAATTATTAGTTACATTGTATTTATTTAGGATACTTAACGATTATTTGTTTATGTAATGACATACGATTAGATGTTGTATACTTGATGTATGGATGACTTTGGTTATTTTTGGAAATAATGAAAAAATTCCTATGCATAGATTTAAATTTATATCGCGACAATATTTCATTTATTGGTAAATATATTGATTTATTTTATATAAATGTAAATATTTAATTTATATCAATTTTAGTTTGGCTAACATTTCACGGTTCAATTTATCCATTGATGTAGTAGGTTGGTTGTGGACGAGGTTGGTGATTCTATCGAAATAAAAGATATGGTAAAACAATGAATAATGATTTAGGATTTAAATTATTAAAAATTTATCATTTCACATTAAAGATTTTATATAACGGAAAAAATATCATATTTACAATTTATTTATATTAATAAATTCATTATAAATTATAGTAAAAAAAAAATTAAACTTTTGTAATTTTGTCTGAAATTATTAAATACAATAAATCAAATAATTAAAAATCTTAGATGAAAAAACCGTGCATCGCACGGGCTTTCATCTAGTATATTGAAAACTAATAACTTATTTAGACCTAAATGTATTTCTTTTTCTTTTAGTTTTATTAGTTTTTTTATTTATTTATTTTCTTTTTCCTCTTTATGTTTTATTTTTTCTACTTATGCCTTGATAAGTTGATAGTCATCTATTATTAGTCTATACAAATACATACCATATGGTTTAGAAACCTAGCCTGAGCTTCATTTAGTGAAAAATAAGAGGGTACATTAGGGAGAATCACCCTCCACAATTAGATATCAAATGAAAACACTCTAAGGTTTAAGAGGAAAAGGCAAGGGGTAGATATGTAAAGCATCGATTATGGAATATACAACGATAAACAGAAGGTATTGGAAATTTTTTATCATACTATTCTCAATGAGAATTTCTTACTCTCTCTTATCTATTACTGCTTGAATAATATATTTTTATCTTTAAGTTCTTATATTGCTTTTTATTTATTTATTTTTTCTTCAAAGAGTTGCTTTTTCTTTACCTTGTTGGTGATACTTTCTTTTAATTAGTTTGTAACTTCTTTATTTTTCCTGATTTCTTGTTTAGAGGGCATATTATTATTAGGGTCGTTTATTCAGATTTTCATTTAGTTTTAGGCCAAATCCAATCCGATCCGATCCGATACGAATTTAATCAGATTTTAAAAAACCAGGCCAAAATCCATTCCGATTATTCAATCAAAATTGGATTTTGGTGGTTTAATCCAATCCGATCGACTTGAATCAATATAAAATACTTTTAAGTTTTAATTAAAAATTTGTGAAATATAATTTTTAATTGAATAACTATAATAAATTATAAGTAAATGATTAAACCGTAGTTTTCATAATGCTTGATATACTACCTATAATAAAGATTGCTATCACGTTGGAATTATTTCCAACATTATATTAAAGTAACCGTATCGTACATGATTCATTTGTATTAACCTCTATTATTAAGATTCTGTATTTTTAGAAAAAAAAAATTAATTGAGAAAATTGATGACTGTACAAAAAGATTTCACACAGTACAATATCAAAATCATGGGTCAACGAACCCAAAATGACCGGATTAAATCAATTTGAACGACCCATACATATGTCACCTCTACAAACTCAACGAAATGATATTTTTACTACGTATTTAATTTAGAGTATAATGTTAAGTTCATTTTTTGGTTTTATATATTTCAATAAGGTAATGCTACCCGTGTTAAGTATGTTACAAAGCAGTACTTACGTGTACTAGCTCAGGTAGAGTTGAGCGTGGGCTAGGCTAGCACAAAAGCCAGTTAGGCACAACACAAAATGGACCAACTGCACCACACGACAAACACTGTGGTAATTGCTTGTGCTCCTTCTTTTTTTTTTTTTTTTTTTTTTTTTTTTTTTTTATGTATTGAAATAAATTAAAATAAATATGGGAATATGACCGTGAATGTAATTTAACATGGTGGCTCTCAAGATCCACATGCATTTTCTATTTGGAGGACAAAAAAAAAGGCCATAATTTCTAGTGGCACTAAAGATTGGTAAAATTCTATGTAGTGCCCTTATTTCATTAAATTAGGCTTAACCAACAAATTATGGCTAACCTTTTAACTCAATATAGTTAAGTTACTAACTTACCCTTAATTTAAAAAAAAAAAACTTTTTTTTTCCCCTTTCTTCTTCTTCTTCTTCCCTTTCCCCTCCATAACTTCAAGCCACCCCCTCTTGCCCCACTTCACTTTCCGGCCACCTCTCCTCCTGCCCCAGTGAGTGGTGGACTGGTGGTGGTGACCGGTGAGTCAATAAGGGTTTGGGTTAAATTATTTAGAGGGTAGTTTAGTAATTTTTTGGATTATGGTTAAAAATTGAGCTCAAAATCACAAATGGTTAAACAATTAATAAAATAAGGGCACTACATAGAATTTTACCAATCTTGAGTGCCACTAGAAACTATGGCATTTTTTTTGTCCACCAAATAGAAAATGTGGGTCTTAAGGGTCACCATATAGAATTTCCCTAAAATAATTAAGGGAAGATTGACATGAGCTTGGCATACTAGTTCCTTGTTACGTATTCTAAATCAAAAACATTTTTTTTTTTCTTTTAACATATCATATACTTGTACAAATTAGGCTTACATCGATTTACATGCATTATTTTTTTGTATCAATGACATTTTTGGTATCCACATGCTTATTACCCATTTTCTTAATTACTTAATACTGTTCGTATACCCTAGACGTGTTACTCTTATATTTAGTGATTATATATATATATACCACATTTGTGAAAATATAAATCATAGGTAAGCCAAGTTTGAAAACAAAGCATATGAAAGCAATTCCATCTTCCATTGTTAGACACATATGCAAGCAAAACGAAACTATATTTTCATTAACTTTCCATGAGTCACTCCTTTTCTTCTTTTTATCTATCATAACCAAATTTGCAATCTTTCTCGTTTATACTCACTTTTCAACTCCCAAACCCCACCTTCTACCTCGCATTTGCGGTTAGTTTATTTTAATTAACACGTACAAACCCCCATCAAAGTGTAAGTCATGGATAGCAAAAATGTTTATAGTTACTTGGCACATCAACACACAACAATAAAGTGATGCATATATAGTGTACAATTTTTCTATGCCCTATGGTTTCTCATCAATTTTTAAATGTCGAGGTCGTAGGGAAATTGTTGGAGGGTAAAGAAATCTCAACCTTAATTGGCTTACTTTTGTATAATTGACGTACTTAAGCAAGATGTATAAGTGTTTAATGGATATAAATATTTTAACACACAATTATTGATAGCTAATTAAACAACATGCTTAATAATCATTCATTTTTTTTTTGGGGAACAATTCTATTATAACCTAATCCCACCAAGGAAAAAAAAGAAACGCGAAATGAAACTTTCAATCCATAAGACCATTTTCCCCGTTATTAATATCTTCTCACGGGAAAAAAGAAGAAAAAGTTGAACGGTATTAAGTACCGCTAATATAAAGCTCATTACAAGCCCTATGTCTACTATGATCTACTCTTACGATAATTAAAAATGTAGGGGTAATAAAACAACAAAAAATAACTTCGGATATATGAAAATTTCTTTTTCTTCATAAAAATGCATAGTAAGGGTAGTACGTCATCATGCTTCATCAAACCCACCGGTACTAATGTAATTGGCCCATTCGAGAATGTTACGTTCACCATCATTGTCTTCAACATTATGGATATCATGGTGGTTTTTGTTGTTGTCGTCTACCTCCGGCTGTGGTGGTGGTGGTAGCAGAGCAAGAACGTCGCTACCGACGTTCAACGAATCACCAAGGACGGGCCCTGCGGTTGCAGGGTAAAAGTTCATAACATGATTGGATTGGCTAGGCATTACATTCAACCCACGCAACAAGTCATCGTTACGCATATTGGTTGAGGATGATATTGACGATGGCGTCAAAGAATTTGATGTTGCATGCGGTACGCGAATTTCTAACATTGACGAGTTAACATCATTTTGATGTCTAAAGTGCCGCATGTTCCCATTGTTAGGAAAAACAACAGTTGGTGGAACAGCAATTGACTGAGGCGGCAGTAAGAGCGGTTGTTGTGGTAGCGAAGCCGGTTGCCGATGACTTGTAGAGGCCGTGTTTGTAGCCGAGACAGCCACAGACTCAAGCTTAGAGCGTTTGCTCATTCGACTTTTACCACCCACAGGAACGTTACGCAAGGTTCCACCTTGCGTCCAGTATCTTTTGCAGCCCTTACAGAAGTACCGGGGCTGTGACAAGCTATAGTTATTAAAATAACAAAACTTGGTGTTGGTTGAATGACATCGAGGGCAAGTCAGCGTTGGTGGGTGGTTGCTGTTATTCTGTCTACCACCCTCTACCGGAACCGGCCTCTTGTTCCGATCATCCTTTCCGTCTCCTCCAGCACCGGCACCACTACAACCACCAACAACAACTGTCTGGTATTCCATTTTTTCTGAGAGTTTTTTTTTTTGGTAGATGATTATTGAAGTGATGTAAGTAATACTCTAGTTACGTAGAGTAGTACCTGGAATTAGAAGCAGGTAAGCAAAAAAGAGAGAGAAAAATGTAACAGATACCTACTTCTGAATTGGTCAAAACTTCTTACAGATTACTGATATTTATAGCAGAGTAGTTCCTATGAAGATCTTCTCAAAAAAAAAATTTTGAATGAAAATCAACCTGATTATAGTATGTAATAATCTATATAAGCTAAGAAATAAAATCAGAATCATGATTAATAGAAAGGTTTACATATTATTTGGCTGGCTAATTGCCTCATTTATCTATAAGATATCAAAAAAAAAAAAAAAAGAAAAAAAAATGAATATTATGAAACAAATTGTTATTTTGTAGGGAAAATCTCCCCCAAAAACTAAAATAATTAATTGAAAACAATAATAGAGGTCAAATGATCAAAGGATATAACAAAAATAAGGAAGAAATCAGAAAAGATATTATTGGATTAAAAAATAATTATTAATAAAAATAATAGAAAAGGAGATAAGAAAAGGATAAGGGGTGGTTTAGCCGTGGCTGAAACACCGCAATCGAGGCGGCGAGTGGTGGTGACTGGTGGTGGTTTTTCAAGTGGTTTTTTTCTCTCAATTTTTTTTCAAATTAGCCTTGTGAGAAAGTACTGTTGGTTTTGCTTTTAGCTGCTTTTTATAATTTTTCCACTTAACATTATTTATATATATATAATTTATTTTTATATATATTTTATTTTATTTAAAATAATTGTCCTGAGGTTACTGTTCTTCTATGATTTTGGATTGTTATGGATTTAGTTAAGTGACATCATTCCACTGACTTATGAAATGCCAATTCTTTTCTTTGTCGCCCAACTACTAACCTCATAGTCTCATAACAATGGAATTGAAAACGTACAATGTCCTATAATCAACCAATCTACTCGGATACATTCTCGATCTTCACTTAAAATATGGTGTTCTAATTATGTTTTGTAAATTATGATGGATTTTTAATAAATCTATAATAATCTTGCGGAATTTTGTTAGATTCGTCACGATTTATGTTATTAATATCTCGACTTATTAGATGAGTTAGTAGTTAGTCAAATAATAAGTTAAAGAATTAGGGTTTGGCTAGTGTCTTCTAATATTTCTAGTCTACTTTGAATTGATAAGACTTACTAATTTGGTCAAATTTGAATTGAAGTAATGTGGGATAATTGATTTTTAAGTCTAATAATTCATTCTTTTCCTCAATTATCGATCTAAATGTATGTTGTGCGTTCGTAAAATTAGAAGAAAATTACGATAACTTGAATTACATTAAGATTAAAAATCATAATTTATTAATTAAAGTCATATAAGTAAGGGTACTATAGGTATATTTTAATTAAGATCAGAAGCGACACTAACTAAACTATAATTATATTTGACTTTTACACTTGTCAATACTTAACTTTGACCATTAACATATACACATATAATTTTCTCATTGTATAACTTATGAAGTTGATATACAGCATTAAAAATCTACATTATTGAGATTAATCACACAATTTTCATCTTTTGGAAATAAAGATACGAATCTCTTTGATTTTTAATTTGTAAGTAAAGATCAGATACGAATCAACAAATTATTGTTATTTCCAACATTAAAATGCCAGTCTATTATGAAGTAAGCCAAATTAAATTGCTAGTGTATTATTAACACATCATTATTGTTTCCATTATAAAAATGACAGTCTAATTATGAAGTGTTTAGGATAAGAATACTCCTACAGCGTGGTCCAATTAGAAATCAATAAGTGGCATATTGTAGGTTGGCACGTGACATCCAACTTAGCCTAAGTGGCCTAATTAGAGCATGACACATGACACTCAATAGTAGCTAATAGAAATGATGAAATGCTCGAAAGTCCATGACATGAGATAACCTTGTAAAAATGGCGCAAACCCTGACACGTGTCATGCACACATACTGAGTAACCAATTGAAGTACGAATTTTTAGGTTACGAAAACTAGGAGCATGCCTTCCTAGAATAGTATAAAACTATTAACAACCCCCATCATATAACATGTTATATGCATATAAATAACCGTACCATTAATTTCTTATCTATTTTGATCTTGTTCAAATAAACATGGACGTTTATTGCAACCCCAATTGATTAATATCTAAACTTAACAATTTTTATCTCATTTGGGACTAGTTCTCTTCAACTTATTTCAAAAATATATTATTTATTCTTGTCAAATTAGATCACACTAAATCAGGCCGTAAATATTCAGATCAACCAATGTACTCGTTTTTGTATGGAAATATTGTTCAATCTACTCGGATAGGTTTTTGATCTTCCCTTGGAATATGGTGTTCTAATTATATTATGTAAATTATGATGGATTTTAATTAATCTATAATAGTCTTGCGGAATTTTGTTAGATTTGTCATGATATATGTTATTAATATCTCGACTTATTAGATGAATTAGTAGTTAGTCAAATAATTAGTTGAAGAAGTAGGGTTTGGTCTAGTGTCTTCTAATATTTCTAGTCTACTTTGAATTGATAAGACTTTCTAATTTGGTCAAATTTGAACTAAACTAATGTGGAATAATTGATTTTTAAGTCTAATAGTTCATTATTTTCCTCAATTATTGATCTAAAGGTATGTTATGCGTCCGTAAAATTAGAAGAAAATTACGATAACTTGAATTATAAACTAAGATTAAAAATCTAATTTATTAATTAAAGAAATAAAAGTAAGGGTACTATGGGTAAATTAATTAAGGAGACACTAAACTACTCAAGAGTTGGCCAATAAAGATTGTAATTATTTGAATTTTACGCTTGTCAATACTTTGATCATTATTAAAATTTCAAATATAATTTTCTTATAGTATAACATTATTATAAAGTTGATAAACTAAAAATCTACATTGTTGTGATTATTCATACAATCTTCATTATTTGGAAATATAGATACGAATCTCTTGGATTTTTAATTTGTAAGTAAAGATCAGATACGAATCAACAAATTATTGTTATTTTCAATATTAAAATGCCAGTCTATTATGAAGTAAGACAAAATTAAGATGCCAGTCTATTATCAACTAATGATTTTAGTTTCCATAATTAAAATGCCAGTCTAATTATGAAGTGTTTAGGGTATGAATAATCCTACCGCATGGACCAATTAGAAACCAGTAAGTGGCATAATTGTAGGATGACATGTGGCATCCAACTAAGCCCAAGTGGCCTAATTAGAGCATGACACATGGCACTCAATAATTGCAGAAATTGTGAAAGGCTCGAAAGCCCATGACAACGAGATAACCTTGTAAAATGTCGCAAACCCTAACATGTGTCATGCACATATTGGGCAACCAATCGAAGTATGGATTTTTAGGTTACGAAACGCGCAACATGCCTTCCTAGAATAGTATAAATAGCCCCCATCATATAACGTATTATATGCATAGAAATGATAATTAGTTCCTCATCTATTTTGATCTTGTTCAAATAAACATGGATGTTTATAACAATCACAATTGACTAAATATTCAAAACTTACTAACAATTTTGGATGCATTTGAGACTAGTTCTCTTCAACTTATTTCAAATATATATTATCTATTTTGTCAAATTAGATCAGATTAAATTAGACCATAAATATTAAGATCAAATTAGACTTTTTGATTCCCGTTTACTTATTATTGATAAATAATATTAATAATATATTAAAAAATTATAAAAATTACATGTTCCGCAAGTACATGATTATTAGACGAATCTTTCATGATTCAATTTGATAATTTTTTTTCCCTATAAATTAGTAAAAAATTGCTAGAAAAATTTAGTCAAATAAGTACACCAAATCAGATAAAACCAACGCGAGAATATTCAGACTAAATGACTTTATTAAAATCAAACCAGAACATACACCTTATTTCAGTGAAGGAAACAATCAAGTCCTTACTAAGGAGATGGAAATGCAAATTGATCATTGGTATTATTTGCCAGATTTAAAATATCAAAAATTGTAATATTTAGATTAGGAGTTTTTGTCAGAAACTACCTATTAAAAGCCATTTTTGTGAGAAACTACCTAATAAAAAATGTTGTAAGAAACTACCTATTAAAACAAAAATGTTGTATTAGACTACCCTTCACCGGATTTTTACCGTTGACCACCTACGTGTTGATCACGTGACCTTTTATACACTACTAGAAATAGGATGTTTTCCGACAGACCTTAAATTCCGTCGGAAAATTACAAATTTCCGACGAAATTTGATCCCTCAAAATATTCCATCAGAAATACCATTTACGACGGAATTTCCCTCGGAAATATTCCGACAAAAATTAATTCTGTCGGAATAAATAACTTCCGACAGAATATTCCCTCGGAATGTTTCCGACGGAAGTTAATTCTGTCGGAATTACAAGCTTCCGATGGAATTTTCCCTTGGAAAATATCTTCCGACGGAATTAATTTTTATCAGAACATGTTATCATCACATAAGATTCTCATCCATAGAATTCCGCCTCTTTTTCTTTCCTCTTTCTTTTTCTCTCTCCTTCTCTTAAGAATCTGCTTCTTCTCTCTCCTCTTTTATTTCCTCTTCTTCTCTTTCCACTTCTCTTTGCTCTTCTTCTTTTCTCTTCTCTCACCACCGCCTCTCATTTTCTCTCTCCTCTCCTCTCGCAAGCCTATCACCGGCCACAACAACACCGAGCAACACCTACATATTCCAGCAAATTCGAGCCAAATCCCCTCCTATTCGAGCAAAATTAAAAAACGAACCAGAAACCCTAGGAAATCTGAGCAAAGAACGAACCAAAAAAATTAAGCAAAAATCCCCCCATATTCGAGCAATGAACCACAAAATATTAAATGAAAAAATTTGAGGAATTTCGCAACCTAATTCTTTAGCAAATTCGAGCAAATTGTAGCAAAAATAATTGAAATTCGACA